TTATATATAATATATATAATTTAAGTTATATAACAGTTATTATATAAATTATATATATATATAATATAATATATATTAAATTATATATATTATATATATATATTATATAATATAATATAACGATTATTATATAAATTATATATATATACATATAATATAATATAAAATATATATTATATATTAACCATTATATATATATATGTTATATATATTATTTTCTTTGTATATAATTTAGAATATATATATTATTTGCCAATAATGGCATAATAGTAAATTCAGGATAAAGTAATGGCATAATAGTAAATTCAGTTATAATATAAACGTATAATGGCATAATGGTAAATACCTACACAAAGGGTATAATGGTAAATTCGACGAAAAAGTAACACCGTTAGTAGTAAAGTAACGGTGTTAATATCAAAGGGCGAGTATGCACGCAGATATACAATACAAGGGGGTTTGACGCAATTTTTAAATTACGAGGGGAAAACGCGCAGATTTAGTATATTACAGGGGGGTTTGGTGCAATTTACCCGGAGGGGAAGGGAGGGAAAATAATTTATCTTGTTTGGATGGATTTTGTAGGAGGGGAAGTGAAGGACAATGATTAACCTTGTTTGGTTAGAAGATAGAAGGGGAGGGAAAATAATGTTAGAATGACAAATATATCCTTAATGATGTAAGGAACAAAAAAATAAAATAATTCACAGTAAGGTCAAAAGAGTAATTTGTTGTTAAAATTTCCCTCCCCTCCAAATTCCCTCACCTTTGGAGGGGAGCACATTTTCCCTTGGAGAAGGGAATTGAAGGGAAAATTTAAACCTCTCCTCCTTACAAAAAGTTGAACCAAACAAGGGGAAATAAAATTTTCCCTCCCCTCCCTTCCCCTCCCCTCCGTTTCCCCGAACCAAATATAGGCTTACCCATAAACGAAGGAAACCTCATCAATTAAAATTAGACTCATCAAATTTCCATTCAAGATCTTACTTTATCTCGCTACATAAATAACATTCAAACTCTAAAGAAGGAATTTCCAAGAAAGAAGTATAGTATATCAAAGCGTTATTAGTTATGGTCTTTCCTAGAAAGCCGTTTAGTATACCATATCCACATCACGGTTACCTTAATAATTACTCTATATAAAATCTAATACCAAAAATAATAGTATCATATAGTACAAATTAATAATAATAGTAATAATAATAAAAAAATATATTTTGTACGAATAATAATAATAATATTAATAATAAGTCAAATCTTGTCCGTAGGATTCCACAGCAAGACAACCTAGGCGGCCACGGCACACCCCTCATCTCTGGGCCACGAAAAATACGTTGAACTTTCCAATTTTTTTAGACAAAAAGATTTCTAATTTCCCGACTGTTTATTTAATTGCCTCCGCAGAGTAGTTGTTTCCCCCAAATCCATAGTTAAAACTTCATCTGAGAACAGAAAAAATTAGAATCAATCAGCAATAATACATACATACGCAGGCATGAACGTCACCCAAGATCACGACCAGCACCAACTCCTGTCCTCGCCGCCGCCGCACGCCCGCAGCCGCCACCACCGGAGCCCTCTTTCGTCGGCCCTCTCGAAGCCCAAGGCCTACATCACTCTTGCCGCAGTCTCCGCCTTCATCCTGGGCTACATCTGCCACTCCCAGATCTCGGAATCGGCCCTTGACCTATCCCTCCACAACGACTTCTCGGGCCGGTGCGCCGGGCCGGTCAACCCGAGCCAGGCCCGAAGGACCATCATCGACCGGGTCTTCAACGGCACCTCTCCCTGGGACAGCTTCCCCCCGTCCCACGTGTTGCCCCACCTCCACAAGGAGTGGACCAAAGGCTGGGGCTCCACCACCCCTGTATTCGAGCACCTCATCCGCCAGGCCCGCCCCAACACCATCATCGAGGTGGGCACCTTCTTGGGCGCGTCTGCCACCCACATGGCCGGCCTCACCCGGAGGCTCGGTCTGGAGACACAGATCATATGCATCGACGATTTCCGGGGCTGGCCCGGGTACTACGACAACGAAAAGAGCCTCAAAATGGTGAACGGGGACAGCATGCTATTGTACCAGTTCATGCAGAATGTGGTGAGAGCAAACGAGACGGGGTCGATTATTTTCCTGCCGTTTTCCGCCGGGACGGCCCTGAACGGGCTTTGCGAGTGGGGAGTGTACGGGGACCTTGTAGAGGTGGACGCGGCACATGATTTCCACTCGGCTTGGACCGATATTAACCGAGCGTACAAGGTGCTCAGGCCCGGTGGGGTGCTGTTCGGGCACGACTACAAGTGGAAAGGGGTCCGTGCAGCCGTTCATCTGTTCGCAAGGCTCAACGGGTTCCGGGTCAGGTTAGACGGGGAGCATTGGGTTTTGTATTGAACTACTTCTAATCCTAGTTTTGGTTGGATTTTGTTATCATGTTTTGTTCCATTTAATTTTGTTGGAAAATATAACTTCAAAGTACAGGGTTTTGAGCCAACTTTAATTCAATTTTATGTTGTTAAATATTTTAATTCGCTGCAAATAGGATTGTATGAGTGTTCTTGGTTTCGAGTAATGTTGGTATCCAGTATTGAGAAATTGAATAAGATTTTAATCTTTATGTTTGGAAACAAGATAAGTTTAGATGTATGAGGGAGAAGTGATTGGCTAATATTATTGGGAGTGGATGTAAGATAAAGTTTTAATGGGTGGTGTATGACTTGGGAGTGGATGTATGATAAAGGACAATGAGTGGGTAGACAATGAAATAAAATTTGTCTCTTAATTACACAATTCTTATAGCACCGTGTATTTATACAAAAGATAATATTTTTGGGAGTGGATGTATATATGATGAAGGATATTAATGAGTGGGTAGACAATGAGATATAATTTGTCTCTTAATTTGACAATTCTTATACAACTAGTTGTTGACTTGAATGAAAAACGCCCGACGATGTGCAAGTCATAATTTGTTAAAATATAAATTTTGACGTAGCGGATTCTATAACTAGGATCATGACTTACAGTTTAAAATTTTGCCAACTCTATGAAGACATATACGGTTTACGGGGTCAGACGGACGGCTTCGAGATGCGTCCTCTTGCCATGGATCCTTCCGTGTGCTTTCCCGATCGAGTTACTTGCAGTCTGGTGTGTTAGTCGTGTCTCGCATCGCCTTGGGCTTGTTGGACTGCTACTGGACCGCACCTGAGTTGCTGAAGGTGGTCTAGACTCGCCGCGGCTAGCCTGGTGCGTGGATGGGTCCCGTGGTGCACGCTGGTCCGGGCATGTGGGTCGCCCCTGGTGTCGTGTCTGTCGTGTTGGGCCTCACTGTCGCGTTGGGCCGCTCTGCTAGGACGCAGTGCTCTCTGGTGGGCCATGCTGGGTGCGTTGTCGCACTGATTGGTCG